TTTAGGGTTACCTAAAAAGCAGATTGTATAGATTGTGCCCCATACATAACCTCCCAATATTTCTCTGTCCCGTCTGGAGTCGTATTGATTCTGAAGCAAGGAATTGGATTTCTCCTGTATTTCCGCCAGTGTAGACAGGTCCTGGGGACAGAATTCGTCACCCAGATAGACCAAGCTGGATACGGGAACAGCTGATGCCTTAGTCTGATTACAATTCTTAAAAAATCCATTTCATCTGATCAGTGGGATGTCTTCGTTTCATCTATGACAGACATGACATTGCTGGAATGGAGAAACACATCCATATTGTGCAAGAGTGGTGAGTGGATTTGGTGAAAAGCCTTTGAACAATGTTGTAGTTGTATAATTTTATCAAGCTTGGCAGCTTTATGTTGTTGTAAAGTTGGAAATGAAGCAGGCTGAAGACATTTCCAATTCTGGAGAAGGTCATAGTATGAATAGGGCACAGCCAAACCAAAGGTTGTATTTGGGGTAATCTTAGATTCGAACCCGCAATCATACTTGTCTGCTGCATGAGTGTGGTACTGCTAAAACAAGGGTTATATTCAGGGCAACTTTGGGATTCGAACCCACACTTGTCTCCCGCATGAATGTGGTACTGATACAACAAGGGTTATATTCACGTCAAATTTGGGATTCGAACCCATACTTGCCCCCTGCAAGAGTGTGGTACTGCTAAAACAAGGATTATATTTCAGGACAACTTTGGGATTCGAACCCATACTTGTCTCCTGAATGAATATGGTACTGCTAAAACAAGGGTTATATTTCAGGGCAACTTTGGGATTCGAACCCACACTTGTCTCCCCTGCATGAATATGGTACTGATAAAACAAGGGTTATATTTCAGGGCAACTTTGGGATTCGAACCCACACTTGTCTCCTGCATGAATATGGTACTGATAAAACAAGGGTTAATATTTCGGGCAACTTTGGCATTCGAACCCACACTTGTCTCCTGCATGAATATGGTACTGATAAAACAAGGGTTATATTTCCAGGACAACTTTGGGATTCGAACCCACACTTGTCTCCTGCATGAATATGGTACTGATAAAACCAAGGGTTAATATTTCAGGGCAACTTTGGCATTCGAACCCACACTTGTCTCCTGCATGAATATGGTACTGATAAAACAAGGGTTATATTTCAGGGCAACTTTGGGATTCAAACCCATACTTGCGCCCTGCATGAATGTGGTACTGCTAAAACAAGGATTATATTTCAGGGCAACTTTGGGATTCGAACCCATACTTGTCTCCTGCATGAATATGGTACTGATAAAACAAGGGTTATATTTCAGGGCAACTTTGGGATTCGAACCCACACTTGTCTCCTGCATGAATATGGTACTGATAAAACAAGGGTTAATATTTCAGGGCAACTTTGGCATTCGAACCCACACTTGTCTCCTGCATGAATGTGGTACTGATAAAACAAGGGTTAATATTTCAGGGCAACTTTGGCATTCGAACCCACACTTGTCTCCTGCATGAATATGGTACTGATAAAACAAGGGTTATATTTCAGGGCAACTTTGGGATTCAAACCCATACTTGCGCCCTGCATGAATGTGGTACTGCTAAAACAAGGATTATATTTCAGGGCAACTTTGGCATTCGAACCCACACTTGTCTCCTGCATGAATATGGTACTGATAAAACAAGGGTTATATTTCAGGGCAACTTTGGGATTCGAACCCACACTTGTCTCCTGCATGAATATGGTACTGATAAAACAAGGGTTAATATTTCAGGGCAACTTTGGCATTCGAACCCAGTCACTTGTCTCCTGCATGAATATGGTACTGATAAAACAAGGGTTATATTTCAGGGCAACTTTGGGGAACCCACACTTGTCTCCTGCATGAATATGGTACTGATAAAAACAAGGGATATTTCAGGGTAACTTTGGCATTCGAACCCACACTTGTCTCCTGCATGAATATGGTACTGATAAAACAAGGGTTATATTTCAGGGCAACTTTGGGATTCGAACCCATACTTGCGTCTCCCTGCATGAATATGGTACTGCTAAAACAAGGATTATATTTCAGGGCAACTTTGGGATTCGAACCCATACTTGCGCCCTGCATGAATGTGGTACTGCTAAAACAAGGATTATATTCAGGGCAACTTTGGGATTCGAACCCATACTTGCCCCCTGCATGAATGTGGTACTGCTAAAACAAGGATTATATTCGGGGGCAAATATTCGAATCAACTAATTATTTTCCCCCTTATTTCAGGAACAAATTAGTTCCCTAACGACACCCCACCCAAGTTATACCCTCGGGTCTGTGTGTACGCATGGACACTGCTAACCAACTGAAAATCCCAGCAGCAGTTTAATGTGAATAGCCCATTTAGACACAGTAAAGTCAGTGTGCCATCCAGTCCTTTTCGAATTTAATAATGACAAGCACCAGGCAGAGTAACAACAAGTGCCACTTTTTAACATGTTTTGATGTCATCGACATCGAACGACCCACTTTCGGCTGTCCGAGTAGGTCCTCTATCCGACAGAACACGGAGCCAGTCTCTAAAACAACTCCATCATGTACACACACCGCAACACTTTCACACCGGGATATACACAAATGTGAAGGGTTAACGTGCGACCACGCCTAGTTGGTACGTTCCAGTTATATATCCTATTTCAAAATCAAAACACGAGTGTCTCTGGAAACTGTTTCCTCGACGTAACTGGTTCTATTGTTGGTACGCGCAGTAAACTGAGCGCTTTTAGCTCTAACGATATCTGACAGACAATGGCCGCTCTATCCCCAGCACGGAGACGCGTAACGATCATGAATGTCTGGAAGCGAGATGCGGTAACGTCTACGTAATACATGTGAAATGTGCTTATTAATGACTTTACGATCTGTAACTTTCATCGTGCTTGGCATGTTTGTATTTAAAATTATGGATATGGAACACAGCAACAGTGAGTGAGCATGGTTTTACGCAGCTTTAAGCAATATTACAGCAAATCACGACGAGGACACCAGAAATTAGACTTGCACAAGTCTATAAGGTAATAATTAATAGTTTAAATGATAATTAATTTCTATAAATAACAGACTGGGGTCCTGTCCCCATATATAGACTTGACTCTTTCAAGGATAGAATTACTATACATGCATAGACCTAGCACTCAGTACAGCCTTGGAGCAAGGCTAGCCAGAAATGGGCTTCACACATTGTACCCATGTGGGGAATCGAACCGGGTCTTTGGCGTGACGAGCGTACGCTTTAACCACTAGGCTACCCACCGCCCGAACCTGATACGCATGTGTGTATGAGGAGAGGTAAGATAATATAATACATAAAATGAACAGATGGACTGACTGAGTTGAGTTTTACGCCGCTTTTAGCAATATTCCAGCAATATCACGGCGGGGGACACCAGAAATAGGCTTAACACATTGTGCCCATGTGGGGAATCGAACCGGGTCTTTGGCGTGACGAGCGTACGCTTTAACCACTAGGCTACCCACCGCCCGAACCTGATACGCATGTGTGTATGAGGAGAGGTAAGATAATATAATACATAAAATGAACAGATGGAACGACACAGGGTATTCAATCATATATCAACACAAAGCTGACACATACGTGTGTATGAGGAGGGGAAATAAACATTGTGGTATTGATACACAGTATTCGACCATACATAAACATCAACAATACAATTAATTAAAAACAGAAACGATATAAAGGGCACATTCCAACACAATGAAAAACAATCATCTATTGACGAATGAATACATGAAGTATGTGTAATATGCTCTAAACATGTACATGTAGATATATAGATATACAGAAGCGTATACAGAAGCGTAACCTAAATTCGTGGATAACCTTGATTCGTGGATCGCAAAAATTATCAATTTAGCTCGTCAATTAAGTCTCGACTGACGTTACAAAGCGTACTTTTGATGTACGTACAATGCCACGCCTCGCTGACAAAAAGTTCCCAATCTCTGCATTACACGCAAGTACACTTAATGTAATTGTCCAGCATTGATATAAATAGCCCCAAATCACAAATACCATCATTACCAAATTTTATTTTTACAAAATGTCAAGTAAAAAAGATACCGTTAGCTCCAACCTTCTCACATCTCGTTGTCTGCTTTCCTTGGTGTCAATATTTACAGCAGTGGGATGTCGTACATGCCGACTACGTAATCCACGAAACAAGGTGACGTCACATTTTGTGGGCACACGAATGGGTTGTAAATGGCTTCGTAAACAAACGTTTCATTCACAAGTGGAATAGTAGGCATTTTCAATAAACTGAATCAATGAATAAAATAATCAGTGCGTATACAAAATGAAACCATGCATTTAAAATATGAATTTCGCCGCATTTCCCTTATATCCACGAATCAAGGTTACGCGAGTGTACCGCATTATATATCCATTGTTCGTCCCATCAACACAAACTTTAAATAACAAATTAGGGCGCATGCCCATGTAACAACCTAACTATCTATAAAATATTTGCATTCATCAGTGTACGCATTTCTATCGAAGGTGTGGGGTTCGTGGGATGTAAAGGTTAACCATTTCATGTTAGCCGTACAGAACTAATTAGCTATAGGCCCACTCAACGCATTCCAGGTTACTGAAGCCGGCCATCTCATAGTTACATGTTTACACTCTCGTGAACGTCTATCATATATTGACACAGACCATGCACACCGCTGAGAGAAATCATCTGTCGTGATAATAGTCTAAGTGCTCTCAGATCCCTGTAGATACCAATAAAACAAACAGAGCTTGTAGTTTACATGATCAACAAAAATAGAAAAGTTATAAAAAGTTACGAGAAACTTTCTCTCGACTTAAAAGGCCATTAGCAAACTGCATGGGCAATCTGGCTTCCCCTGGGCTAAGTTTGACAGATGGGACATTGTAAACAAACGTGTGTGCATTTGCGATTTGACTAGGGGGAATGCTCGCTCAACTTACCTTTGTAAAGAGATCTGGTCTTGTCAAAAGTTAGAGGACGACGGCCAACACGGGACAGGATACTATCCACATCCACATTTGAAAACTTATCGTCTGCTTCACTTTCAACAGCCGCCATTTTGAAATAGCGAGCCCCCCTCACCCCTCCTCACTCGCTCCTCGCGGCACCGCGGTTCGGATGGAACTGCTCTCGTCTGCTGTGGTTGTGTTCCGATACTCCTATAAACAGCATGTGCAACAAACGTGCATCGAAAGGCTCCTCACATTGTCTCGAAATAACCTTGCATCCCTGGTAATACCAAAGGATTATACAAAAGAGCACGTATACACGTTCTGTATAGCAGACGACAAGTTCTGGGAGGGGTGGAGCAGACGACCCTCTGGAGCAGACTATCGGCAGAGGTAACTAAGAACGCCAAGATTGATGTGAGGGTCGGAGGGGGGATGCTGGACCTGATGAGCGGACAGAGGCGACTGGAACACGGCAGCGGGTCAAGCTGGGCGAAGATGAGATAACTTTCACCGGATTCGCTTTCTGCCGCTCTCTTCCTTCATGGCGGGGAGAGGCGGGATCAGACACAAGTGCATTATTTTGGGCGTGTGCCAGCAGGGAAAGGAAGGGGCTCACCAAACGTGCAGCCTGGGTGATTTCCTTCCAGTTAGTCGCGGCTTCATTTGCCGTGTTTACTGCCATGCATCTGCTGAAAGCATCACTCGTTCTCTGCCTGATGGAATGAGACAGACTTATGGCTATATGCCTCTTCTGCGTATTCTTTAAAGCAAAGGGCAACATGTATGTACATTTGTGTCAGAGTTGAATAAATGTCTTCATTTGTCTTTCTATTTCCTGGATGTCAGACTACTTTATGAGGGTAATAGATAGTGCATATCGCAGGGCATGCATGTTTAATGGAGAATGGAGGTGCAGTTTGACTATTGATTATTCAAGGAACTCTGGGTGGTTAACGGGAATAAAAGAAGAAATATTTTCTGAATGGATCAAGATGGATCAATAAGCATCCTCGCAGTTTTTCTTGCGGTTGGTACTCCGTTGCAGAATAGAACCGTTTATCTCAAGCCTATCGCACCATGGTAATTCCAGAACAGAACACGACCCCAGTATGTCATGTACATTATTACATATTGTCATATTGACTTTCGGGATTTTGTGTCACCGACCTCAATGGGTTGGGACGTTTGTGCTTTTAACCACTTGTTTGTCAGACCCAAATCAGATTTATATATAATTTATATATACAGACATGTTTCATAGTTCGATCATAGTTTGCTGATTGTCCTATTTATAAATATATACACCACCTTTGGAACATCCACGATTATCATATCATCATCATCTTGTATATACATGTAATAGACTGGATGAACGAGAGTGTCTTTGCAGGGGCAACATGACATTACCGGAGGAAAAAGGCCTAGTTCTGTACAGCCATGATCACCAACAGCTGATAGGTGACATGTAAAATGTCACCAGGCCTGGGTCAGACAATCCCGTTATTCGCTGTACAATCATCATCATCATCATCATCATCATCTTGTATATACATGTAATAGACTGGATGAACGAGAGTGTCTTTGCAGGGGCAACATGACATTACTGGAGGAAAAAGTCCTAGTTCTGTACAGCCATGATCACCAACAGCTGATAGGTGACATGTAAAATGTCACCCGGCCTGGGTCAGACAAACCCGTTATCTGCTGTACAATCACTGCCGGGATCGATCGACGCCTTAATAGTGAGGCATCTGTGGTGAGACGATGGTTACATTTCAAGCAAACGCGCTACATCAGTCATTTCGGCATTTCGTACCAGTCTTATATGGATTCCAGCAGACACCCAGCGGCAATTTTGTTGACTTAGAGTAACCTCCGCTGTTTGTAGCAGACAACCAATATCCCGATCAATGTGTAGCGTGGAAAACTTACAGTTTTTAAATATTTTTAAATCACATTCAGCATCAGATTAAAAGACCTGTTGCAGAAGATTTGAAGGTCTCCATCAACAGGAAATTTCAGAAACGAATGAGGATGAAGGCACGGAATCCAAGAAGGGACATCGTCGCATAGTTGCCCGTACAAAACAGGCATGACTTCGACGCGCACACACATTGTATGTTGTATGCTTGAATATGATATGTTTTAAACACGTTTATTTACTTTCTTTTGGAATTGCATTTTCGCATCTGTTGAGTTAACAACCTGAGGCCCACAATGTGTAATTGTGAGCAGCAAAAATCCATGCATGACAATAGCAAGACCAATTCTATTACTGGCCAGTCATAAGATTTTAGTTGGTTGGTTGGTTGTTTAACGCCGCACTCAGCAATATTCCAGCAATATGGCGGTGGTCTGAAAGTAATCGAGTCTGGACCAGAAAATCCAGTGATCAACAGCATGAACATCGATTTACGCAATTGGGATACGATGACATGTGTCAGCCATGACCATTCCTGGTTTGTTGATTTGTACAATCATCTGATGACTTCCAGACCTAATGACGGGCACCTGCTGACACGATGTCGAACTTAAACACAGCTGCCCGGCAGATATATGTATAACGTACAGCTTGTATTTATTAAAATGGTTGTAGACTCGTAACTGGGCCAGAAGATACGTCATTTAGTCATCGCTCTGCTGCATGGACACCAGACGCCACCTTGAGCATACTGAAATAAGACGCGCTTGCCATTCGTCACCACTTTCCCTTTAAACACGCAATTACGCAGCATTTAGAAACACTCGCCTTTCGATTATTTCTTTCGTCACCGCTTTCCCTTTCCCGTCACCGCTTTCTCTTTCACGCAGCATTCAGAAACACTTGCCTTTCTATTATTTCTTTCGTCACCGCTTTCCCTTTCCCGTCCCCACTTTCCCTTTCACGCAGCATTCAGAAACACTTGCCTTTCCATTATTTCTTTCGTCGCCGCTTTCCCTTTCCCGTCACCACTTTCCCTTTCACGAAGGACACTTGCCTTTCAGAAACTTTCGTCACCGCTTTCCTTTCCGTCACCACTTTCCCTTTCACGAAGGATTCAGAAACACTCGCCTTTCCATTCTTTCTTTCGTCACCGCTTTCTCCAATCACCGTCCCTTTCACTCATCTTTCAGAAACACTTGCCTTTCCATTCGTCACCGCTTCACTTTCACGCAGCATTCAGAAACACTCGCCTTTCTTCGTCACCACTTTCCCCTTTGCACAACCTGACAAGACTACTCACTACCTTGATCACTTTTCACCAATTTGCGCAACCTTCGCCCTCCGTCCGTCTCCATTCGCCCTTTACACTTGCAAGAAGACTAGAACGTATTCGGCCGTTTCGTCAGGCCAACGAGTACCCTGTTCTGTGTGAGTGGGTCTACTGTATTTCGGTTGTACCACTGCGTGTCAGCTTAATGTTTCTTGAAAGTCCAAAATGGGATGTAGATATTTCGATTCTACCTTAGATTATAACTTTCAGCAGTATTGGAGTAATATGACGGGTTGGTCTTTATACCTTGCACCAATGGTGAGAACCAAACTGGGTTGACGGAGCACCCGAGGAACCCTTAACATACACGCGGGACCATTTGCATGTTGCTTGAGTGAGAGGAGTGAGTGAGTGAGTGAGCGGCGTTTAGCAACATTCCAGCAATATCACGACAGGGGACACAAGAAATGGGCTTCACACATTGTACCCATGTGGGGCATCGAACCCAGGTCTTCGTCGTGACGAGCCAACGCTTTACTAATTAGGCTACCCCACCGACCCTGCTGATGTGAAACTACGGACACAGATACATGTAGAGAAGGTGCTCCTCTATTGATCCAAAGCCTCTCTATCGCCAGAGCATTCCTGGATGCTGTTGAATGCCTGTTATTGTGTTCATAAATGTCATAAGTAATGAAATTGTCTTATTAATATCAGTAGACGTCGTACATTTAATAGCATCTTCGGGGACATGTGACACACGTGTTTAGACTCGGTAGGAAACTGTCATATTTAACCTTGTGTGTAGACTGCCGTTTGCTGGCATCCATCTTGTAGTTTAATCCAGTGAACATCATGAACATCGATCACCTTTCTGTATGGGGTACTGGTGACCCCTTCAAATCAGGAACCATTGTAGTAACGTTATTCATTTGAACAATTCGTGGCACATGCTAGATTGCTTCCTTATATCTCTGTCTAAATGTAGATGGGACATATGTACATATACGCCAATGATTTGGGAGGACTTTTCGGAGCATGCAAACCAGTATGACATCGAACCCATACTTTGTATATCCTGGTCAATGCCACTTGAAGGCGACTTTATCCATATTATAGGGGTGGTGGTGTATGTGTGTATGGTGGTGGTGGTGTGTGTGTGTGTTTTGGTGGTGGTGGTGGTGGTGGTGGTGGTGGTGGTGTGTGTGTGTGTGTGTGTGTGTGTGTGTGTGTGTGTGTGTGTGTGTGTGTGTGTGTGTGTGTGTGTGTGTGTGTTAACCTAGTGGTTCGCTCGTCAGGCCGAAGACCCTGGTTCGATTTCCCATATTGGTACAACATGTGAAGCCCATTTCTGGTGTCATCCGCCGTGATATTGCTGCAATATTAGTAAAACTCACTCCATATTATACCTATGCCATATCGTTCAATCCTAGTCTGTCATACAGACCCTGAAGCAAATATATCCAAATATATCTAGAAAATGTGGCAAGTCTCGAGTTCCACAGCTTCTCTGAAAATGAAGAAAGTCTCAGGGCTCCTTTTTATATTATATATATTTTTTAATATGAGCCTTTTTTCTGTAAAATATGTTCATTTCAGAGACTAGTTGTTAGTTTAGTTCAATCCGAATTGATCTGTTTACAAGACTGCCGCATCACGCCTCGCGCCTAGTGAGTCCATGCTTCCCATTGCAGATATATTTTATGGCGCATCGTTCTATTCCCTTGACGCACGCCACGCCGAGGTTTTCGGGGGGTATATTCGCTGTACGGAGTTTCCTGTCCTAGGTGTGTCAGTCTCGAGCTCCCATTCTGTTTCTTCCGACTCCTGCCCTGCAGAAAAAGTCCATCACTTGCGTAATTGTAATCACCTCTCTAATTTAAGCTAACCCACCGTGATATACTGTAAATATTGTTACAGTTCAAATCAGAGTTTAACTCATCTCACTCACTTATAAAATAGACTTGTTTTAACTCTTCGATGCTCTGTCGGTTGTCAACACAACTTTAGGACTTGAGGACGATACATGTCCTGCATTAGGAATAAATAATGTTTAAAACTAATTTTGGCCTATATAACTGTATAATCATCTCAGCACGTATACAAGACACTGCTAGATGACCTTATCTTAGACTACTCCACTGATAATGACAACAGTCATCCCAGTACTTGGTCAGTGGTGACTCGATGGCCGA